TTGTGCCTCCCAGGCACTTTTTGTCTCTCAGCCTCAAGACGACACGCCAACAGTAAAAGAAATGTGAGCAGATGCACCTATTAAATATGTAAACTACACATCTCTTCCCGCTGAGAAGATGCATTTATTTCTAAGGGGTGCCGGAAGATGTATTTCTAAGGGGTCTGTCTAACATAACGACAGACAGGTGGGGGGGGGAATCTACCATGAATTAGCACAAAGGGTGCAAGTGAGTCCATCACAACAGCTTTCCCCAGAAAACAGATGCAAGCTAATTAAAAATCCTGTTTCTTTTCTTTAAGCGAATTCCTCAGGTTTTGCTGATTAGCAACTAATAGCTCTGTCATCTGAGCTAGGAAACATAAGGAAGAATACCAGTGATATGTTTTCAATCAAAACATTTGCACGGGCAATGAATCATATTTTCCATGAGGAATCATAGTCGGGGAGCAGAAACGGGCAGAAGGGAAGCAATGGGCACAGAAGTGCAAAGGAAACCTGAAATTTTAGAAAAGAGGCACCTTCCTAGGCATTTATGAAGCCAGCAGGGCTATGACACAACCAGTAAATCTAGAAACACCACACAAAAGTCTCCGCAGGAATCATTAAGGAAACGAGCCTCTTCACAGGAAGACGGGAGACCAAAAAACACGTGTTTTCTCTAACAGGGAAAAGAATAAAACTTAACTGCTGGCCAGGGCGCAGAAATGCTTTAGCCATTATGTCACCTGCCTTTGTGAGTTTATAAAAGAAGAAATGCACCATAGTAAATGAAGGCAGGGGGTGAGCGGATAGGGTTGGTAATAGTTGTCTACAGATGGAGTAAGGGAAGAAGAAAGCCGATGAGAAAGCTCTGGCCAGGAGATACCAAGTTCTTGTTCTGACTCAGGTTCAAGCAGGCAAGGCCCCCCAAGTCTGGCCCTGCCTATGTTTTGCCAAATTATAAAGTGCTAGTGATCCCACAGCAGCAAGGCTGTCAGCACCAGGGCAGGCCTGAGCCTCAAGGCCTGAGTGGCTCCCTCCTCCCTGATCCACGGCCCAAGCACAGCCACACTTCCCAGAGGACATCTCCATCGCCCCAACCCAGGGGGAGTTTTTTGAAAAACACATGTGGCAAATATCTGAGCTATCTACTGACTCTAGATTTTCTTCTCTCTTTTTAAGTCAAAGCCGCAAAGCCTAAAACACAAACTAAATTTTGTGAAAAGGCAATACCACCTTCACAAGATCATAAAATTTTCTGCCATAAAATCTTACAGATGTCCTTCTGAGGGAAAAAGAACGCTTTCCCTTTTCCAGACTTACAGGAAGCCTGCCCACACTTACAAAATACAAAGTTAGTATATATAGAAGCACAAATTAGGAATCTTGAAAACTCCACATTTTCCAGCCGCAGAGAAGCAGAGGGACTGCTATGTTTATACACCCCCACTATGTAGAATAAAGGAGTCCATCTTTTTCAAGCAGAGCCAGCAAACCACTCAAGGAAGGCAATGGCCTAGTAACATGCTTCTGGACTTTGAGCTACTAAAGGCCAGCTACGAATTTGTATTCTTGAGAGTTTCAGAACTCATAGCAGCTTTACATCACCAATAATTATACCTGGTCAAAACTTCCCATCTCTTTAAAAAGATTTCTTTCACACACTAAATATTTTGCATGACTTTTAGCGTCAAATCAGAATTAGCTTTATCTAAGGATTACATCTGAAGAAGATAAACTATACCACAAAATGCCTAAAATATTTATATACAAATTTATTCAATAATTCAGCAAACTTAATTCATTGCCAGAGTCAGAAGTGACTCTCAGATGATTCTCCAGCAGGCTGTTGGGCTGTAAATTACACAAGACTGTCCATCCTCTTCCCTCAGAGCATCTGGTGGGTTAGAACCACCTGCCTTTGGAAACCAACTCCTTTTCCACGAGGCCACCAGAGCTGCCTGCTCTAACATGGTGACCATAATTAAAATCACTGAACACACTGAAAAAGTTAACACAGCAAACATTTTGCTATGCTTATTTTTTACCACAGCACATTTAAAAATTGCTTGCTATACTAGTAGAAAATTAAATAAACCTATCCTATCTCACTCTCGCAAAGTTAGCATAAAGTATTTTTAAATTACTTATTCTGAATAAATAATATTGTGTCTTTAATTATTAAGAATATATTAATTTTGTATCTGAATTACATAAAACACTTTCTGGTAAGAATTTAAAGTGTTAGGAGCTCTCAAGTTCATTTAAAAGCTTAAAAACTGCTTCACTTACAAAGCAAAAAAGATGAGACAACAAACTTGGGATTCAGTGAGAAAGGGTAAGTTCAGAAGGTCACAGAACACAGTTCTACACATGCCTATCCTCTTCCTACAGTTTACAACCTCCTCCTTCTCTAATGTCTATTTACAGAAGCCTGTGCTCTCAGGAAAGAGCTGAGGAGGCAGGCAGAGAACAGCTAGTCCACATTGAACCTAACAGCAAAAGCATAAACGTGATTTGCTTTATCAGTGAACTAACTGCATACAATTGAGGATGACGGAGAAGGAACAGGAATAAGAGGTGAAGAAAAAGTGAAAATAAAAATGGAAAAAATGAAGGCAAAGGAAAGCTCTCCTTAATTCTGAGGAACTTAATGTATATTAAACACACTAAAGACAGTATATTAAATATTGTATTGGCACTGTCTTTTAGAATTCTCACTCAAATTCTCTGAGTATGCATTATATTATCAACCCCTGTCTGAACATTATAAAATGATCCTCACCAGGGTCAACACATTTGGCCACGGTCACGTAACCAGTAAGTGGTAAAGCTACAACATAACTCAAATCCATGACCGGAAGCACCAGCCTCCAGTTCTCTCTGTTCATACTATGTTATATAATGCTACTAGTTCTTTACAACCAATTGGGATGGCTGGTGAAAAGTTATCATAGAGGAGCTCTGAGTGGCACAGTCCGTAGTGGGGTGCTTACTGAGGACCCAAAGGCTGTATGTCTCCTGCAGTTCAAATCCATCAGCAGCTACAAGAGAAAGATGGAAAATCTATCATACAATCTATAGTCTTGGGAACTCAACGGAGCTTTGAGTCAGAATCAACTAGATGGTAGTGAATCTGAGGGTTTTATGAGTAAAGTTACCACATAATTTTTAAAGTGGCTTGAATAATACGATGGGGAAAATCTGGAGAACAACCATCTTACTGGCAGTTATGGCCCCAAAACAAACTGATATGAATGAATTCAAGTCCCACAAGAGCAAGCTGCAAGTTGAACGGTGCCAAGCGTAACCATAAGTTAACGGTTATCTGCCCACATTCTTCAGCCAAAAAACAAGTCCTCGTCAGCTGTCCTGATTAATTAAATACATCACTAATTGGTGGGCATCTGGGAAGGAAAACAAAACACAAATATGAGGTGGATAAAGTTTTCTTCACACACAAGGACAAAGGAAGCAGGGAGCTTGTTGTGGTTAACAGTCTAGACGATGTTTTGTTGGTTTGGTTTGGTTTGGTTTGGTTTTATAAGAAAGTTAAATATTAGGTACATAAAGATAGGCAGGAAATAGGCAGGACTCCCTTACATTTTCTGCATAGATATTTAGCAGAGACCCACAAAACTCAGACGTGTGCTCAGGGAAAAAATCCTACCAATACTCTTCCAAACCTTTACGACCAAAAGAAAACAAATACAAAATAAACCATTAATGAGTGAAGGAACAGGATGTGCAGCTACATCTCCCCTTCCTTCCAACATCTGTAGAAACATCTGCAGCAAGAGGACTTTTAAAACCGAGAAATGGCCCTTTTTAAAGAGAAGTCGTGGCCTTTTCAAACAGCCTAGAAGAATTCATAAAACCTCTCTTTCATGCTTCTGACCACTTTAAAACAAAATGCTCTCGCCACTTAAAAAAATAATGTATCTTCCAGCCTTTTCAACAATATAAACTGGTCCGGGGAAAGCGGTTGCACAGTCTCAAGGTTGTGTGAGGTTCTTTGATCTGCACCCTGATGAGTGAACATTCCTCTTTGCTGCAAGCCAACTAATGAAGGGATGAAATTAGCTTTTATCCTGGGCACTTTCTCAAGCAAAAAACCATGCGCTAATCAGCTGTCCTCACTAATCAGTCATCTGGCTAATGACCTTTTGCCTTCACACACTAAAATTTCTGAATGATGTGGAAAAAGGGAAACACAAACCAGTCCCCCTTTCTGGAGCTCAATGGATCATCTGGAATCAGAGCTTCGAAGGTTAAGTGGTGAGCCTGTATCCTGGCTAGGTGATAAATCTCTAATCAGGAACTGCAAACTTTAGTTCTCAACCTCAACCTGAGCTTCATTACTCCGCTGCCAAATTGCTGTTTTTAACTAGAAACAGGCCGAAGATAAAGTCAACTCAGATATTTTTCTGTATGGTTGTACCTTAGGAGAAAACCATCCAATATTGGTGCTCATGAAGCCTATTTCATTTTGAAAGCTACATAATTGCTGGGCAGAGAGCTTCAAAAGTATGTAGTATGATGGTTAGAGGAAAGCAGTGAGGAGAAAATCTTTCATATTAAAGAGTTTAGCATTAATTTGTTCAAAGTGGTTTGTCATTCCCCCTTCCTTCACAATTACACACCAAGTCATTACGATTGGGAGTAACTGCTGTCAAAAATCTCTTTCACAACACACCACCATTAGCCAGTTCCTTCCTGTATCATCTACTTGAGTAGAAAAAATCTGGTTCCAGTTCCCAGGAAACAACCCCTATGGACTAGCCACAAATGGGCCACCTTTCCAAAGGCTACCCTACTGAGGCCTGAAGAGGCTTAAGCAGTTGAGGAAATACTGCTTTTTAAAAGGTCAGGAAGTAGAAGTGAAAAAGAAAGTGGTAAGAAAAGCAACTTTTTTAAAATTGTTTTTGTGGTTTAATACAAACCAAATAATTTATTCACAAATTCATACATACAGGCACGCACACGCACAAACACACAGAATGGCATAAAAAACTTACGGTAGTGGGGCTCCATGTACCCGTTCCTGGGGTCCATGGCAAACACTGTCCCACGGTAAGGGACAGAGGGCTCGGCCAGGTGCGGGATGGACCCATGGATCTCCTTCTTGATCAGCGAGGCCCTCTCATCGCTGGATGTTGAAGGCTCCTCGCTGATCTTGCTGAGGCCCTGGACGCTCTGCGGCTGCATAGCGACTGCGTTTCTCCTCTCTCTGTGATAGGTCTGTCCAGGACCTTCATCCTCTAAAGAACAAAGAACAAGGAGAGACACTGTGATCCACTTTAGGGAGCAACTGAAAACGAGAAATACATTCAGTTTCTCGCTACATAACTCCCCAACCCTAACAAGCCTAGTTCTCATTTATGGCAACCTCTAAATCTCCACTGTGATATCTGTAAGACAAAATAGCTTATAAATAAAGGTCCAAACTACAAATGGGAGGATGAAGAGGAGCAGGAAATGAGCCTATTAAGTTGAAATGTAGGGGGTCAGCAAATTATCATCACCAGCTTACAGCTGAATTTGTCAGTGAAGCTATTAATCATGGGCTTACAAATGGCCCTTTAAGTCTAAGTTAGAACTAGACATTTCTCCAGCCTAAGAAGGAAGGGTCCAGAGTCCCTTTCTACAAGAGGGAAAGGCCTCTCAGAGTAAAGCCAAGTCCAGCCATCCATCCACTCCTCTTTGGGTGGCTCTAGGTGGTAAAGGTTCTTTTGTGACTTAAGAGGATGACATGTTAAAAGCAATTCATGTTTTCATTTCTCAGGTCAGAATTGGTAACTCCCTGACAAGTTTCAGAGTCAGTAAATGGGCAGAAATCTCATTGGATGCAGGGATAAAGGCATCAATAATGGAAGTCTGTCATACCCCACGGGAGATGTTCCAGCTCTTCCCATGCCACAGACCTAAAACCCAGGGTGGAAAATGTGTGTGACTAGAAGTCCATGTGAGAAGGTCCTATAGTGGAAAAAGGCAGTTGTGACCTATGTACATGATGTGGTGAGACCTTTATTTCTTCAAACAAGTGAGGAACAGGATGTCAAAATTCCACGTATACTTTGTATTCTAGCTACCTAGCACATCACTTCTCTTTGATCTTTAAGAACTTTCCATCTATCCATTATAGTTTTCTGTAAATGTTGACTGGATGACTTTCTGGATCAAAGAACTAATGCATAAAATAAAACCAGGCTATCTGAATCTGCAACAAGTGGATCATTCATTGTTAGGATCATGTGGCTTAGTACAGGAGCCCGCCGCCCCCCCCCCCCCAGGAACAAATGAGAGCTCGTGTTAAGTGTGTCTTTAAGTTGAATTTGCAGGTAAATCAGAACAGGTGCATACAGGTATTTAGCCTTCACACAGGAAAGACACCTAGTGGCAGCACTTGGCTGCTAACCGGAAGGTCTAGAGTTCAAATAGCAACATGGGCAGGGCAGTTCTACTTTGACCCATAGTATCACTAAGAGTGGGACTTGACTTGATGGCACCAGGCTTGAGTTTCTAAGGTAATATAAGAAAGAGCCCTGATGACACAGTGGTTAAACTCTCAGATGCTAACCCAAAGGTTGGCAGTTTGAACCCACCAGTCGCACTGAGGGAAAAAAGAGGTATCAGGCTTCTTCTGTAGAGATACACATCATTGAAAACAGTAAAGGACAGTTATACTGTGCCTTTGTGGTCACTAGGAGTCAGAATCCACTCAACAGCAACAGGTACTTCTGGTTGCTACAAAGAAGATTCCAAGCTTTTGCAATGATTTTAAAGCTACACATGCTGCAAGTGGAGGTGATGGTGATGAAGAATTTGTCGCAATTCTTTCAAAGTGAGGGCAAATACAAGTTGTCTAATATCCAGCAATTGGACAGTCTTTACCTAGGGACTTCTAGACAAACTTTGCTTTTAAGGAGCACTGTGCTCTAGTTGGTAAGTGCTGATGATGGAAACAAAGTTGTCAGGCCACTGCTCAGATACTACATTTTAAAATGGTATTCCATTCTATATGGGGCGGGGGTGGGGGGGGATGCATTTGGACTTAATAAGATTTAAGAAAGACATTTTGAACACCTCTTATCCAAATATATAAACTATGGCAGATATATCTAGTTGAGCGACCCATAACAACAAAAAAAAAATAATGATGCGTTAGCAGCTTCACAGCTCATTGTATAAATTCAATAGAAAGTACAACTACGAACACAGACAAATATGGAAAACACGGAGTATTAGCTACTGCTTTGTGCTGACTAATGGCTTGGCCTACCTAAAGTTAGAAGCAACTTTACTTTTCTTCCTCCTTCTGGGACTTGAAGAAATAAACTACTTTTTTTTTTCAGCCTCCCAAACGATTTGCAAAACAGAACAGACAACGAGGTATGTTTCATCTGAATTCGCTGACTACTGCCTGTAACAGTGAAACATTCTTTTAATATTGTTTTGTACTGATTGTGACCCTGAAGCCTTACAGTTATGTAATAAAAGTTTAATCCATCCAGTAATTAGTGGGAGGGGGTTCAAGTGGAACCCTACATTTTCACATCTTCTGGCCTTTACAGAAATAATTCAAATCATATGCTTTTGGCAATCTAAAATCAAAGTATGACATTAAAATTAAAAAAAAAAAAACCAACCCTGAAGAACCCTACACTGTTACTTGCCCTCTGACTAATACTTTTACACATTATTCCACCTGTGGGTTTCATTAACAGGGAAACTGCAGGTTATAGACTGGTGTTTTTCAGTTATGTAAAGGCCAAAGGGTGTCACAAACATTAAAACTTATAGTACATTTAATAAAAATTCCTATAACCTACAAATAGCCCAGGTCATATTTTCCACTAACTTGCTCACTGTATAAAACTGTTCTTTCAAATTTCAACTCCAAGTGAACTTCTAGCACTGAGGTCCACAATCTGTAGAATGGGGCTTCCTATTTGGAAGGTGAGAAAATTACTTACCAAGACAAGGGGCTACCTCTTTGGGCTGTGACACATAATTAGCTTTCACTGGGAAAGTTGAATAACCCAAGCTCAACTAATCTGTTCCAGGCTTACTAGAGGATTTCCTTAACTATATCTTCCTGAAATAATTTTGTATTCTTTTCCCAAATACCGGCAGACTCTAGGTTACAAACATTCAACCTCTAGACAACTGGAAAAGTGGACTCGTCCTTTCCTGTTATGTAAATTTGTCCTCGCTATAAAACCATATGTGCTAACACCTATTGGCAATCTTCATCACAATCAACTTTACTTGCTGCATGTGCAGCTTTTAAATCCTTGAAAAGGCTTTGGACCTTCTCTTGCATTAAAGTAAAGCCAAATAAGAATTGCTGGGAAAGGCAGAGGAGCAGTTAAAAAGAGGAAGACCGTCAATGAGAAGGACTGACACAGCGACAATGATGGGCTTGCACACGGCAGAGACTGGGAAGATAATGCAGGACAGGGAAAGTTCAGATCTACTGCTCATGTCACTATGAGTCATAGTCAACTAGATGGCACTTAACAACCACTTAAGAAATGTACGCAATTGTTCCAATTTATCTGTAAATTCATACAGGAAGAGATCTCCTTCCTATCTAGAACCGCTTGTCATATCTCAGTTTTTAGCTCTCTTTGTAAAAACGACTTGAATCCAAAGTAACTGAGAAATAGGCATATCCTGGCCAGACACCCTCAAATTCCAGGGAGAAATAAGTAGTGGGCTGAGGGCAAAAAGGGGTGACAAGTGGAAGTGAGGGTGCCTTTTTGGCTAAATTATTTTCCTAATTAGAGTTAACCTAACGTATGTGGATGTAAGGTATGCCAAGACATAATCAAAGTTTTAATATTTAATTCAGGACAAATAAAGCCATTCCACTAGTATAAAGTTAAGCAGAGGAGCATTTTAATGTGGAAATTCTCTTCATAAGACTGACTTGTACAACAGTCAATGCTGATGCTACCACATTTTACACCCCCACCCCGCACCCCCCTGCCCTGGGAAATCCCAGAAGAGAACAAGTTCATGAAGTTTACCTCGAAAACTGAGCAGCTTTTGATTGGCATTCACATGAGAACTTGACAATATACATGCTCCAGAATACAAACAGCTACAAGCTTGAAAGCACTTGCTATACCATGAAAGGGAAACTTTTCTATGCAATATTCCTGCCTGCTCTTAAAAATTCAGCAACCACTTCAGAAAGCCAAAAGACAAAGCTGTCTAATCTTGTTCAGTTGAGCCGAATAGTTCAATAAAGTTTGAGAGTCCCGGCAGACAGGCTACGCCAGGCCAAATTATTGACAGAAACATACTGTCCACCATGGCAACAAGTAGAAGTGGACTGCAAAAATGTAAGCAAACAGCCCACGGATCCAAGAGAATCTGCCAATAGACTAACAGCCAAACACAAGACGACTGTTAGCACTGCTCAGTATTTAACAGCTGCAGGCTAGGGGTCAACCTGAAACAGTCACTTTACTGAAGTTTCTGAGGAAAATTATTTTCAATACTGTCATCATAATCCTGCTCTGTGCCTCTTTCCTTCTGTATATATGTACTCAAGTGGAAGATACAAATCCCTGCCCCCAAACGAAGACTTCCCCAGAACACCATGTCTTAGAAATTCTCCCAGATTTTCCAGACTCATCCAAAAGAAACCAACAGCTACTTGGACGCCCTCAGTGTCATACTCTCCAGAAAACCAAAAGTTGCATCACTATAAAAGTTGCTCAGAAAGTTTAAAATGAAAAAGGTTGAAAGTAAGGAAATCATGTTGCTGGAGGCAGGGCTCCATGAAGTGCTGCCTGGCTAGTGGGAGACTGGACACACTCATCCAAGCAGAGGGAGCTTTTTCACCTACAACTTGAGAGGAAAGTTCCAGAGGATTCTTCTCACACAGAAATTACAACTTGACAGTGCCTCACTAACTAAGGACACCTGTCACCCTAAGAGCATGAACGTGTTTGGGAGTTCACAGTACACGTGTCCCTCCACCTTTAACATCCATTTTACCCTGTTCTCCTAAGCCCCCTTTTTATTTCCCCCAAGATGAAGCATGAAAGAGAATGATACTCACAACTCAGTCCCCGGGTTTTGGCTAGCTACTTTCTGCCAACTTCTTTTGGTGAGCTTTCTCTAGCTGTGCAGACCCTATAGGAGCATTCTTGGTGCCTCTCTGCCTCCCTCTCCCCGTCTCTCCCTCTCCCTCGCCTTCCCTCTCCCTCACCCTCTCTGAGGCAGCGCTGCTCCCATTAGAGGA